CATTGTTGTTTGGCGGGCCCGGGCTGGGGATTCGAACCCGCCACCTTAGGTGTATGTGGCTGGCGCCTTAGCCGCTTGAGCCACAGGCGCCGAGCCACACAGTTACATTTGAGTACTTCCCATTTTTTTAAATTAAACATAGCTGTGTATATTAATACAATTATAGGCATTCTGTCTTTTCAACACACCACTATGCTCAAAATCTCCTGGAAGATAATTATCCCCACTAGGAGATGAGGAAACCGAGGGCCCGAGGCCAAACCTGTTACTCCCATACCCCTAGTTCTTTCCAGAATTATACCAGCACCCTACCACCGAAGCACAGACGTGGGCTGCAGCGGGCGGCAGCCCGGCCCAGTCTTGGGTGTCCGAGAAGAAAGGTCGCCCAGGATTGTCTGCTAGGAGACCTTTTGTCCTGCGGTTCTCAGGCAGCAGGGCTGGGCCAGGCAGAGATCAGGCGCCTACAACAAAGGTCCCCGGGCAACAGCAGTTAACGCCGAGCAGGACTTGCAGACCGGACCTAGGAAGACACGGACCCCCACTCGGGTTGTTGAGGGGAGGGATTCCGGGACCGTGACCCACGTGCTCCGCCTTCGCCCAGCTCTCACCCTCATTGATTGAAGCAAAAAAAAAAAAAAAAAGGCTGTTCCAGCATTTATCCAAATCAGCAGTATTACAGCCACCCACGTATAATCTGACAAGAGTCAAGGATCAAAAGAGTTAATGTAGAGAGGGCAAGAGATGAACCCTGCTAATCACGTGGATGGTGCTTTGCCTGTAAAAAAGGAGCCAGGAGGTTGTTCTGGCAACAATTGCTTAACAAAAGCCTCAAAGTGAATTCTGCACACTCAAGGAGAGTAACCACTAGCCACAGGGCAGGAGGTTTGCCTGGGTCAGTGAGTGGGCTGTCTGGCAGCAGGTGGACTCACTGGAGTATCCTGCCTACATAAAGCCTTTCCCAGTACACCACTGTCTGCATTACAGAGCCATCTAACTGCAGCAATTTGTCCATGGAACTTAAGGCATTCGTCCACTCTGCAAACACCAAGTATCCACTACTGTCCAGGAGAACTCATGTCCACTGGGGAAGCAGAGAAGAAAACAGGTGCTTACAAAGCAGTGATAAGTGCAGTGGTAAGAACTTAGATAATAACTCAAGGACAAGGTGCTGTGTCAGCACAGAAGAGCAGTTGCCTAAGCCTGTAAAGATAGTCTTGTGGTCAAGATTGAAAAAAGTTGGTTGCTGGAACAATCAGGTGACTGCAATAGGTCAAACAACTAACACAGTTACATTTCTTTTTTTGTTTGTTTGTTTGTTTGTTTTTTGAGA